AGCATGACATACTATATATATCTGTTGTATAGATCTACTCATATAGAGTCTACAAAAACTGAATTTTCCATTTTACGATTTTTCTACAATTTTATACTATTTTTCAAATTTTTGGCCTGTTTAGTCCTATGTAGCCTGTTTTGGATGGCGTCTAGGACGTAGACAAAGTTCATGGACTCAGATGAGCGAAAAAAGTTAACAAACCTAGGTAAGAAGTGGAGAAAAGTTTAAGGACCCATTCACTCTTTTAAAAATTCTTGGAGATGCTTGTAAAAACCCATCTGGTTTCAGATTTCGGGTACCCACTATATCTCCCGAGCTGCTGCCGCCACTGTTCTGCTCCCGTTCCGTCGCCGCTTCCTCACTTTCTCTAAGCGGGGCTTCTCTCATGTACAAAGATAGGCTTTCCGGAGGTACCATCCATATCTTCCCCTTCATTTAAATTTGCCGTTTAATCTCTCCAAGAAAGTTTCCTGTGGTTCCAATTTTTTGATATTTTAGGACTTATATCCTAACGCCTGGACGTCCGGCGCAAGCGCTGCATCCGGACGCCGCTCCCCCCTCCCTTGTGAGAATGGAATGGAACAGAATCCGGACGCCGCTTCCCTCCCTGACGCACCCCGTTTCCCCATCGTGCCCCTGTCCCAAATTGCACGAAACACTTTAAGTATAACATTGCAAACATATGGAAAACTATGTAGTACAACATCGGAATATAAATATAGCAACATCGCAAAAATATGTAGTGCAACATCGAAAAACATGTACTGTAACATCAGAAAAATATGTACCGCGACATCGAAATTTATGTACTGCAACATCGAAAGTCATGTACTGTGCAACTTCGAAAAAACATGTACTGCAACATAAAAAAATATGTACTGCAACATCGAAAATTATGTACTACAACATCTCAAATAGTAGTACTACAACATCGCAAAAAACATCTGTTGCAGCGACCCAAATATCCCATTTCAACATTCGAAAATCATCTGTTGCAACATAAAAAAACATTATAACACGGGAGAAATAGCAAAAAAGCGTACAAAATAGCCCCTGGCCCATCACCTTCGAGCTCACTGGAGGGAGGAGGGAATAGGACCCCAGAGCTCGCCGGAACCCTAGCCATCACCGCGCCCTCAGATCTAGAGTAGGAGGAGGAGGGTTCAGATCTAGAGAAGGACCGACCTACCTCGTTCGAACCGCCGCGGTATCCTCGTCTCCGGTGGAGGGAGGGAGGGAGGGAGGGAGCGCGGGGCGAGCGGGATGGCATCGAGCTGGCGCGTGGGCGCGGTGTGTCTCCATCCCCGGGGCGCAAGAAGGCCCTGAGAAATAGCGCGGCGGTGCGGTAGCGAGTGGGCACAGGGGAGAGTGCGGGCGGAGTGGGCGCGGGGAGCGGGAGGGGGGCTATCACAGGATTAGAATAGAATGGGATGCGTCTGACGTGCGAGTTGAGGACGGACGTCCTAGTAGAATCATTATCGTTTTTTTAAAACTGTTGGAGAAACTTTTCTTTGCTGTTCCTAATTATTTTGACGATTTGGAAAACTCAGTAATTTTAGGAACTCTTGGAGATGCTTTAAGTGTGAATTCGATCCTGCCCATCCACAAAAAATCTAGGTCAGATTTTTTTAAACTCAGCAGCAACAATTGTGACGTGACCACAGAGCCTGGATCGCTTGGGTCCTGTTGAGTAGAACAGTAAATTCAGAGAACAGAAATGCTGGGTTAGGACGTTCGATCATCCGGACGCTCCATTGCCGTGGGCGCGATGGCACGAACAGCCCAACTATCCCGAATGCGTCATTCATTCGGCACGCGACGGGAAGAAAGGAAAGCGAGATATTTCGGTCGTTTGGTAGATAGGCTGTGTGTTGAGCTTGCATCAACAGAACCGTCCGACGAATACATCAGGTACCAACAGTTCTGTCACTATCCCCTAAAGAAAGCAGTTCTGTTATGAGAAACGTGGCTTAAATAAAAAACTATAAAAACATACCATTTGATTTTCAATCTCAATTTATTTTAAACCAGAAACAGCTTATAAACTGTACCCATCATAGCATTTGCTCTTCCCGGGATATTTAACTTTTTACCATCATAACGGATGACCACTCCTCAGATAGCAGGTTTAGAATTGACGCTATGATTTTAGCAGCTGAGAAAGAAAAATGATACATTTTTACCACAATTGCTGGTGTGGCACGCCACCTCAGCTGGCCAGCGTGGCAGGCAAAGGAAAAATGACCGTCCCTGCCCCTGCCCTCTCTATCCCTCCCCACGCGCGGCCCGGGCCACTCCAGCTTGCCCTTCCGCTCCTCCTGCTTTGCTCTGTCTGCTCGTGCGAGCGCGGCGTTGTGTCTGCGCGCGTGCGTGCGCACCGGGAGGCGGGGTGCAGGGGCTGCTGTGCTCGTTCAACAGGCTTGGGACTCGGTGCCGGCGGCGGTGCCATGGCTACCGGCGGCGAAGTTCACCGGCGCAACGGGGATTTCGTCCTACAGAGCTCGAGAGATTTCAAGGGTGCGTGGGTTGGATTGTGGAGCTCATCACGCAGCCAGAAATGGAGTCCGCGGTGTCTGGCTCGGCACGGCGAAGGGAGGCTACACGGAGGGGCGGACGGTGGCGAAGAAGACGCTCCGGCGAGCACGGCGAGTGGCGATGCGGGTAACCACCCACAGCGAAAACCAGCGTGGTGGATGCGGCTTGCCCTTGCGACGCCAACGGAGGAATCTGTGAAGCGAACGGTAGTGTGTCGGGGGAGATCGAAGAGCTCGACCCCGGCACGGCCATGGCGGCGGCGGTGCTTGGGAGAGTGCGGCAATGGCGCTGTGGGCACGGATCGACGACGAGAAGCAGTGGGTCGGTCTCGTGGTGTCGCTGCGATGCCAATGGTGGAACGTATGGAGCCGGAGGTGGTGTGTGGTGGAAGGTCGGGGAGCTCGGGCTAGGCCCGGCAATGGTGGCGGATGTGGGCGCTGGAGCGGAAGAGGGCACGACGAGGAGCGGAGTGGAAGCGGCGTGCACGCGCGATGCTCCTGCGCTGCTTATAAAGGGAGAGGGGGCGAGGAACGTGGACGGGAATGGAGCTTGGTTCATTGCAATCAATGGCGGCTGGAGTAACGGACAGAGGAAATGGACGAACGTCCGATTGATGTAGGGATATTGAAGAGCAACGTTATTGGAGCGCTATTGTGAGGTTTTATTGCCGCACGAGTAAACGACATGGGCTCTGTGGAGCTCAGATTCCCCATTAATGGAATCCAGAGAGAGAGGGAGGGCTGGCTGGGGGATATTTAACTTTTTACCATCATAACAGATGACCACTCCTCAGATAGCAGGTTTAGAATTGGCGCTACGATTTTAGTAGCTGAGATAGAAAAATGATACATTTTTACCACAATTGCTGGCGTGGCACGCCACCTCGGTGGCTTGATGGCGGCGCGAAGGAAAATGACCGTCCCCCGCCCCTGCCTCTCTATCCCTCCCACGCTGCGCGGCCCGCCCCTCCACCGCCCTTCCGCCTCCTCTTTGCTTCTGCTCTGCTGCTCATGCGGCAGCGTGGCGTTGTGTCTGTATTGTGTGTCGCGTCGCTGCTTGTCGTGCTTGCGCACCGGAGGCGGGTGCGAGGGGGCTGGCTTGGGACTCGGTGCCGGCGGCGGTGCCATGGCTACCGGCGGCGAAGTTCACCGGCGCGACGGGGATTTAGTCCTACAGAGCTTGAGAGATTTCAAGTTTGCGTGGGTTGGATTGTGGAGCTCATCACGCAGCCGGAAATGGAGTCCGCGGTGTCTGGCTCGGCACGGCGAAGGGACGCAACACGGAGGGGCGGACGGTGGCGAAGAAGACGCTCCGGCGAGCACGGCGAGTGGCGATGCGGGTCACCACCCACAGCGAAAACCAACGTGGTGGATGCGGCTTGCCCTTGCGACGCCAACGGAGGAAACTGTGAAGCGAACAGTAGTGTGTCGGGGGAGATCGAAGAGCTTGACCCCGGCACGGCCATGGCGGCGGCGGTGCTTGGGAGAGTGCGGCAATGGCGCTGTGGGCACGGATCGACGACGAGAAGCAGCGGGTCGGTCTCGTGGTGTCGCTGCGGTGCCAACGGTGGAACGTATGGAGCCGGAGGTGGTCTGTGGTGGAAGGTCGGGGAGCTCGGGCTAGGCCCGGCAATGGTGGCGGATGTGGGCGCTGGAGCGGAAGAGGGCACGACGAGGAGCGGAGTGGAAGCGGCGTGCACGCGTGATGCTCCTGCGCTGCTTATAAAGGGAGAGGGGGCGAGGAACGTGGACGGGAATGGAGCTTGGTTCATTGCAATCAATGGCGGCTGGAGTAACGGACAGAGGAAATGGAGGAATATCCTTTTGATGTAGGGATATTGAAGAGCAACGTTATTGGAGCGCTATTGAGAGGTTTTATTGCCGCATGAGTAAACGACATGGGCTCTGTGGAGCTCAGATTCTCCATTAATGGAGTCCAGAGAGAGAGGGCGGGCTGGCTGGGGGATATTTAACTTTTTACCATCATAACGGATGGCCACTCCTCAGATAGCAGGTTTAGAATTGGCGCTACGATTTTAGCAGCTGAGATAGAAAAATGATACATTTTTACCACAATTGCTGGCGTGGCACGCCACCTCAGCTGGCCAGCGTGGCAGGCGAAGGAAAAATGACCGTCCCTGCCCCTGCCCTCTCTATCCCTCCCCACGCGTGGCCCGGCCTACTCCAGCTCGCCCTTCCACTCCTCCTGCTTTGCTCTGCCTGCTCGTGCGAGCGCGGCGTTGTGTCTGCGCGCTGTGTCGCGCGTTTGCGAGTGTGTGCGCACCGGGAGGCGTGGTGCAGGGGCTGCTGTGCTCGTTCAGCAGACTTGGGACTCGGTGCCGGCGGCGGTGCCATGGCTACCGGCGGCGAAGTTCACCGGCGCGACGGGGATTTAGTCCTACAGAGCTTGAGAGATTTCAAGTTTGCGTGGGTTGGATTGTGGAGCTCATCACGCAGCCGGAAATGGAGTCCGCGGTGTCTGGCTCGGCACGGCGAAGGGACGCAACACGGAGGGGCGGACGGTGGCGAAGAAGACGCTCCGGCGAGCACGGCGAGTGGCGATGCGGGTCACCACCCACAGCGAAAACCAACGTGGTGGATGCGGCTTGCCCTTGCGACGCCAACGGAGGAAACTGTGAAGCGAACAGTAGTGTGTCGGGGGAGATCGAAGAGCTTGACCCCGGCACGGCCATGGCGGCGGCGGTGCTTGGGAGAGTGCGGCAATGGCGCTGTGGGCACGGATCGACGACGAGAAGCAGCGGGTCGGTCTCGTGGTGTCGCTGCGGTGCCAACGGTGGAACGTATGGAGCCGGAGGTGGTCTGTGGTGGAAGGTCGGGGAGCTCGGGCTAGGCCCGGCAATGGTGGCGGATGTGGGCGCTGGAGCGGAAGAGGGCACGACGAGGAGCGGAGTGGAAGCGGCGTGCACGCGCGATGCTCCTGCGCTGCTTATAAAGGGAGAGGGGGCGAGGAACGTGGACGGGAATGGAGCTTGGTTCATTGCAATCAATGGCGGCTGGAGTAACGGACAGAGGAAATGGACGAACGTCCGATTGATGTAGGGATATTGAAGAGCAACGTTATTGGAGCGCTATTGTGAGGTTTTATTGCCGCACGAGTAAACGACATGGGCTCTGTGGTGCTCAGATTCTCCATTAATGGAGTCCAGAGAGAGAGGGAGGGCTGGCTGGAGGTAGGGGAAGCCTGACGTGCGGGCCCCGCATGGCAGTGACAGAGAGAGGGGAAAGGCGCTGGAGTGGGCCGGGCCACGCTGGGGAGGGATAGAGAGGGTAGGGGCGGTCATTTTCCCTTCGCCGGCCACGCTGGCCAGCTGAGGTGGCATGCCACGCCAGCAATTGTGGTAAAAATGTATCGTTTTTTCTCCCCGCTGCTAAAATCGTAGCGCCAATTCTAAACCTGCTATCCGAGGAGTGGCCATCCGTTATGATGGTAAAAAGTTAAATATCCCGCTGGCTGGAGGTAGGGGAAGCCTGACGCGCGGGCCCCGCATGGCAGTGACAGAGAGAGGGGAAAGGCGCTGGAATGGGCCGGGCCACGCGTGGGGGGATAGAGAGGGCAGGGGCAGGGACGGTCATTTTTCCTTCGCCTGCCACGCTGGCCAGCTGAGGTGGCATACCACGCCAACAATTGTGACAAAAATGTATCATTTTTTTCTCTCCACTGCTAAAATCGTAGCGCCAATTCTAAACGTGCTATCCGAGGAGTGGCGAGTGGCCATCCATTACGACGGTAAAAAGTTAAATATCCCGCTCTTCCCCATTCCCCACGAGTTGTCGGCTTGCCGTTAATTCCCTCGCGAACCGCCGCGAGTAACCTATAGCCCGCTGCTCGCCCCCCCGAGGACTCGAATGTCGCCGCCGCCGGCCCCGGGGGAGGGGGGGGGAGGACCTCCTTGAGGTGCGGTGCGCCGGCTGCTTGGGGACGCTGGAGGTGGAGCGCGGGTTGACGGAGTTCCTCTGCCCGGACTGCTCAACGCCGCAGGCGCTCCCGCCGGAGCTCATGCCGCCGCCGCCGAGGCGCCGCCGTGCGCTGCCCATCCCGCCCGCCCCGGCGCGGCACCTCACCGCGGCGCCCCACGTCGGGCTGCCGTGCGGGGCGTGCGGGGCGCTGCTGAGCTTGCCGCCGGGGCTCGCGCGCTGCGGGTGCCCGGTCTGTGGCGCCGAGCTCGCCGTCGACGCCGAGCGCCTCCGCCAGTACCTCCTGTACACCGCCGCCGCGCCACTCGTGCCGGTCTCAACGCCGCCGGTCGTCCAGGCCCGGGAGGTGCGCGCAATCTTTCGTTTCCTCAGTCCGGTGCCTTTTGCTTCCTCTCCGTAGGATCTCTATACTAATCTAGGCTACTGTGCTTGCACTTGCTATCTCGTGTAATTAAAATCGATGATATTGTGTGTTCAAGTTGGTTTATTATAGGTACCGTTGGAATCCCTAAAAGATTATAGGAATGTGAATTCTAAAATCTTCAGACTTCAATGATTCAGACGGGCACATAGTGTGCACAGCTCTAATATTTTGCTTGTCCGTGGACATTGGAAATTGAGGCCCTGTTTCAGAAATGTAAGTAGGATGCTGCGAGTGGGCTGTTGTAGAAAATGGGGTAATGAAATGGCCAGACCGCCAGGCGCACTTGACCTTCTATCTCCTGTTGAGCTAACAAGAGTGTAGGAGAATGTAGTACTACAAATTGTCAAGGTGTTCTTGTGGTACCTTGCATTTCATAACAAGAAGCTCAGAGTCTAGATTCAATGATTCATGAACTGCTTGCGATAGGTTTTCTTTTCCCCAATTTAGAACTTCCTTTATCCTCGCTATGTGCCCAATGTGAGGAGAGTTAAAAGATAAAGATGATGATCTTGTATGCTTTTGTAATTTTCCTCATGAATATATGTAAAATTATGTAGATTAACTGCATAACTTAAAATTGTGTCACCAGAGTACCAGACTTGCTAAGTACTTCGATAATATATATTATCATTAGTGCTAGCACATCATGTTAAGTGACCGTATTTGATGTTTGCATCAGGGACTGGAAAAGTAAAAAAAAAATGATTATGCCTCTTTCTCTGAGATACTGTGCTTCTTAATTTTGATTTGCTTTTACTGTGGTGCAGGGATGCCAAGAATATCCTGATTCTGCAGTTTGTTTGGGACATATTCAAGGGCATCCGGCCAATCAACTGGTTCATGTAAAGCGATTACAAGTCAGATGTCGAAATAAACAGTCACTTTCGGAGTATCCCAATACTGGTAATGATATATGCATTGATATGTCAAATGAGATTAATGAAATGCACTGCCATAGGACCAAAGTCTTGGTTGCTGCTAAAACTGTTAGTACAAAGTGGAGGCAAGTGGAAAGTCTAAACTATGCCACATATCAGGCAGATGCACAGCAATCCTATCATTCAGTTCATGCAGAACATACAGACCATGCAATCCATGTTGGAGAGGCACGAAATGAATCTCTTAGTCATGCAATTCACAGAAGTATGGGGCACATTGAGCTGATTAAGGAGAAAACTGTGGTAAGGCATACGAACCGGGTACCTGGTACCACTGTTTGCCCAACACCTGTAAGTGTCGAGAAGAGGCAGGTTCAAACTTTGAACCAGATCGCACAGGAGGGACAGGGAAAGACCGGGCCACCCAAATTGCATAGTCCTACTGAACAGGGCCCAGAACATTGCAATGATAGCATTCAGACAGAGGAGGCTGAAACTGAGATGGGCCAGCTGACTGCAAGATTGGCCCATAAGAGCACAAAGAGGAATTTGACGCCTTCATCAAATAATGGGTCAGAGCATAGGTGTAGTAAGCGTTTAGCCAAGCAATCTGCTGCCACTACATACTACTAATCTCATGAAAATGAGGCTGTTTATCCAAGTCAAACTATATCTGATTCTCAAGGTTCTGAAAAAGTCAGCCATGATTCCTCTAATTCATTGCGTCAACACAATATGCCTCATAGAAGCTCTAATGAGGCAGACAATCATCATGCCACCACACAGTCTGCTTCTTCGATTCCTGATATGTCCGATCCTGAAAGCTTTGCACGTCATTACTGTAAAATACGCCCTCCAGAAGTTAGGAGAGCTCTTGAAAGGAGTCCTAATTTAGGCAATGCTGGTAAGGCATATTAATTTTCCTTTTTTTTGTTGATCTTTAATATCTTAATGAATGATGAGCTGGCTCCAGAGGAACTTATAGTTCTTTTATGCATAGATTTAAGTAGATAGAAAAGGTTGTGACATGTGATGTGAGTAAATTCAGAGATATACCTATCGATTGTTCAATTCATATTTGCTTTATATAGGTGGCAAGGAAAAGAAAAGACGTGGTCGTGGTCCTACATTCTGCCTTAAAGTCTGGACAATGCCTGAGGGTGAAAGGATTCCAGTGTCTTTCAATGATCTTGGTCAACCTATCGGAATTGAAGCTGTCACATTGAGTAGCTTTCTGGGACAACTTGCCCGTGATGTAACACTGGCACCTCTGACATATACAGATTGGAGACATTTTCCAAAGAAAAACAAGAATGCAATGTGGCATTTAGTTAATGTAAGCATAACTGTGCTGCCACCCTGATTTTTTTTTTATATATGTCCTCACATATATCTTTATTTAGTTATTTCCTGTCCTCCGGTGGTTGCCACAGTTCAAGTTTATCATCCCACCAATTGGCGAAATCTGGGTTATGCAGGCATTGGGGAAAAAATGGAAGGACTGGAAAGGTATCTTAAAACATGAACGGTATGATGTTCATGAGACAGATGAGGAGCGTCTTGCTGACCGAGATCCTCGTGTCCCAGAAGAACAATGGAAACTCCTTGTGGCATATTGGGGCACTGAGAAGGCCAAGGTAGTGTTGAACATTGTATTGACTTTATCAAAAATATGAACTGATTTGGAATATTTCAGTCTTGGCAACATGTTTGGTTTATTTACTTAGTTGTTATTATGTTATAGGCTGCAAGTGCTCGATCTAGAAATTCTCAACGATACCAACCTCTTCATAGACACAGAACTGGATCAAAGAGTTATGCACGGATACAGGAGGAGGAGGAGGTAAGTTTACATAACTCCTTTGTTTTTACCTAGGGGATGCCTTGATTATGTTGTTTGCAATTAAACAGCGGCAAAAGCGACCAAATATGGAGGACAGATATATACATACTGATCCCTAAAGATGGGAATGGAGACCTGGCAAAGCAACAGGTGTAAGTCTCTAATATAATAACACTTAAGAAAGAAAGTTACATTGAAATCTGATGCATTTCACGCTTTGAATCACATGATACTGACACCCAACACATATTAATCTATTATGACGTCTTGCTTTCATGAAGAAGCTCAAAAGAGGCTTCATAGTTTGGCAAGTGGTTCTATGGATGATGTGTTTGCTGAAGTTGTCGGTCAAGACTAGTCAACTAATCGACACGTGCTCTGCTCTAGTGAGCCTTTTGGAAAGATGGCTGCTAAGGTGTCACTGAGGCAAGTTCAAGAGGCTAAGCATAAGGCTGAGGAGCCAGCCACACTGAGAAAGAAAATGCTGGAAATGGAAGAAAATAACAGGAAGAGCCAGGGCAAAGATGATTCAATACTCGTTCTCAGAACTAATATCTCCGAGGTAACAAGACCGGACTTTACCTCTCCTCTGTTTTGTGCTTTACTCTACAATGTCCCTAGCATTTTGGTGTGCCTTTACTATTGTGCTTCAAGACTTTACCTATGCCTCGTTGACTGTGATTTGTATCCAGGGACTAGGGATCATGTTATATAAATGTGGTTCCCTGAACATCTAGGATATTAGTGCATGTTATGCTACTTCTGTACTTACTGTGGTTATTACTGCTACTTGTTTAGGTGCAATCTACCGTGTACATCATCTGCAGTTAACCACTTGTCTGTTTTTTTGGTGCAAACGGCAAAGTGCCAGAAAATTACGGAGTTGTTACATATGTAAGCCTGAAAATGAAAATAAATAACGATTCATCCTGAAGACAATCTGCAGTCTTTGTTTTAATTCTCTGATGCTTGGTCTTTCGAAATCCAATGGTCTTCCTCTGTCGTGCTGCTACTTCGTCATCTGCAGCATTGCCCCCAGCACCCAGCCGTCTCCAGCCACTCTCCTACTGCTGGAGTGGACAGGCGCCTACGACTGATCCAGTTTTGCGCTCTAGGTAGGAGTTTCTCTCCACTTTTCCTTCTATAGTTCTCTACAGATGATTAGAGAATTACTTTCGCTCATACTGTCATACATGGCAACCATCCAAATAATATACATGTCAAAATTCTTTAGGAAGAGGTCCTAACCTATGACTTTTTATAAAATAAAACTATATAGCTAACCCACTTATCAAGTCACAAGTATTGTTATTGGACTAGTGGCGTTCTACAGAGGTTGAAGAGATGGGGCTGCAAACTTGGAGTAGGGAAATGATTATTGGACTGCAGCAGGGGCGCCAGAAAGTGGCAAACACATGGGCTTTATTTGGCTCACAACCACATCCCACACCAGCACTAGCAAACACCCCATATAAAAGTATAAACACCTTTGCCCTTTGGTGTTGAAGCCTTTGCTACCTTGCAGCCACCCTGAAATAAATTTTGAAGAAACATAGCAAGTGGTTGGGACTTGGCATGCCGTTCTGCCATGGAATTGTGTCTCAAACCTCTGTTTTCAGATGATGTTGAAACATCTGTAGCTTTCCTTTTAAAAAAATACCTGTAATTAACATGTCATCTGGTTCTTGTTATGTCTATTCATTTTTAAAGGATCAAGATGTCAAAGAGGGGGTGAAATGGGCTAATCTAAATTTTTTTGCAATAATTAAGTCCTACACTTAGCCCATTTCACCTCTAGTGCCTAAGAGTGTTCTTTATTGTTCTACCGCATAAAAGTTTTACACCCTAGGTTTCAATCCTAATCTAGCATGACAATTCTAAGAATGTAAAGGCATGAATTGAATTACTCAAAAGTAAATGCTCAAAGTAAAGAGAAGGAGAAGAACGCGGCGATGTTTTTGCGAGGTATGGGAGAGTCGTCACTCCCCACTAGTCCTCGTTGGAGCACCTGCGCAAGGGTGTAGCCCCCTTGATCTGCGCAAGGATCAAGTGCTCTCTATGTGCTGATTCTTTGACACTCCGTCGTGGTGAATCGTCCACAACCGCTCACACCATGACTTGGGTCATCCACAAGCTCCGTCGGATGATCACCAAGCTTCCAATCACCACCGAGCCATGTAGGTGATGACGATCACCAAGAGTAACAAGCATAAACTCTCACTTGACCAAGACAAGCCTAATGAGAAAGGTGGATGCACACTTGCTACTCCCTATACACTACCGAAGTCCTTAATCTTGGATTATCAAATCTCAATCACCCGACTAGGCTCTTGCTTTCCCTTGCACTCCAAAGTGTTTCCTTAGCTGAACAAATGGTCAAGAGGGCTAAGTTGGACGAGTTGGAGAAGTATTTATACTTCCCACGTCAAAACATACCCGTTGGGGGTTCAACTTAGCATTTTTTTGTAATGACCTATTGAAGTGATCGAACACGTCCGGTCCTTACTCAACGGCTAAATGACATTGGCTATCAGAGTTGGCCGTTATAGTGACCGGACCCAGCGCAGGGTCCGGTCCTCCACGAATGGACGCGTCCGATCAGTAAAATCCTCTCTGGACCCTTTTTGTTGTTGATCGGACTCAGCTACGCACGCATCCGATCATCCATGAAGCTAGCATCTGGTCCTTCCTGAGTGGCGCGCCTCATCTGCTACAGGGATAGAGTCGCGTCCGGTCCTAGAGTCCGGTCGCCCTTCAGCCTCTGTTGCGTGCGCCAACAATTGACCGGACCTGGTGCTTCAGCGTCTGGTCCCACTATCCACAGCGTCCGGTCATCCATTCAAGCTTCCATTCACTTCCAATTCGAGATACTTTGTGAATGAAGTTGACTTCTATTGATCTTTGAGCTGTCCCTAAGCTACCTAGCGCTAAGTTTGACAAGTGTGCACCACACCTAAACCATTAGACTTACCTAGGTCAAGCTACTAGTTCATACCCCCTTAATAGTACGGCCAAAGGAAAAAAACCAATTCCTAAACTACTCTAAGTGTCTCTCAACTCTGAACGACATTTAGAACTAGTCCGTCTTTAACCTTGTCATTCATCCTTTGAAAACCAAAACGATTTCCATTGATAGGGGTATGAAAACCATTTATTGCCCAAACAATCGTTATTTTCATGACCTAACTCAAATTTGTCGGCCCCCTAATTTTGGGTCATGTGCATCATGTATCAGTCCCTGGATCAGTAGCTGATACGCACAATTCGAACAAGATTGATATCAAAAACCATTTTTTTTTTGCTAATGGGGAAAACACATTACATGGTTCAGATTTACATAGCTTGGGCCACTGGCCTTATATCGTATATCAGAGTTCTATAATAGCGGTCCTATGTCATCGTGGCTCCATTCCTACATGCAACTTGGAGTGTGGACGTAACCCTAGACTTATTCCTTAAGCGTACTCCTATACCCCAATCGTCGTAGTCCTAGCGTAGCTCCTTCGCATAGTCCTCGATAGCTCCATACTCGTACGTTCTCCTAAGGTCCTATCCTCGCGTAGCTCCAGTAGTTTCATCCTAGTACGTACTCGTGTAGCTTCTCGCCTAAAAACATAGAATGGTGTGGGGTTGAGTACATAAAGTACTCAACAAGCCCTAAACCTTGGGTGGAGGTGAGGTGGAAGGGCAAGGCTACAAGTGGAGGGGGCTACGGTGGTTGAGGTAGAGGTAAATGTGGTAGGGTGAAGTAATTATAATTATAGGTTGGACCCTAGCAGAGTATTACCATTCTCACCAGTTTCCGGGGTTAATTATTGTTTACCAAACTAGTAAAATACATCTTACCAGATCATCACAGTTGTAGAAGTCTAATCATAGTATCCCATCCTAGCATCTGCCCATTCCAAGGATGTGGCTATTCGAATGGATTCAATAAACTCTGCAGAGGTGTACAAATTTCCCCACAAGATAGACACAATCCGACACCATCGTCATGGCTTAGACAGGTCTAACGAGACCTCGTACCCAAAGGGACGCATCCTCTGATTTCCATATAACTCTACCGTGACTTCTCAGGGGTTGGAAAAACACACCAAAGCTCCGACCCATCTCATAATCCTAGATGATACCACATCATCCCAACATAATAGTGCCGATGATACCAAATCATCAAAATAAATAGTAATATATGGGCTCGAACGCGGCCAAGTCAAGGGGCTTAACGTGGAGGATCACATAGCAACCACACCAATGGGACCATGGAAGATTTGCATCTGTGTCTTCTCCTGATATTCCACTGCCAACACTGACCTCCTAGTAGAAATTATACTTCTATCTAACGGGGTGTGAGATCAAGTCTACCCATATAGACATGTGGCTGTACGTAATATCTCACTAGTTGAGAGGGACTACGAACCGGTCCTTATGTGACCGAGATGAGTATCTCCCAACAGGAACCCTCACTAGGCAAACCTGCCAAGGTAACTTGTACCACACAAATTATCCCTCACTCGCTCCCTGTTGGGGTTTAGTCTAGTTTTTTCAGTTTTAGGTTCCATAGTTATTATTCTCAAGTTCATAAAGCTCATATCATATCTAGGTAACCAATTACCATATCATCATTAACATTATCATAATCAAGCTCATAATTTATTAATTCACAATGAGGACTTAAGTATTGTAAGTTAGGTTTATTAAATTGGTGGAGATGGAGTGTGGAGGGTTTAGGGTGGAGGCTAGCAAAATATGGTGACGGTGGAAGGGGGTGGTCATGGGATGGCATGTAATGTAGGGGGAGGGAATAGGTGGGTGATAGGACTTGCCTCCATTCGCTGATGATTATATTCTTTCTCTGATTCATGTGTCTCCTGCTCCTGTCTTTGGAACTCCATTGGGTTCTCTCCACATCTTCTATCCTACCCAGTCTAGCGTCGACAAACAAGGAATCACAAACAAGGAAAATAGCAAGCAAAGCATGTAAAACAAGCATAAACAATCAATGTGCATAAGCAATCAATGTAAGGATACTATCCTAGATGGGTTAGTCCTATTGGGTGACGGGCGATTATTTAGGTTATCATTATTATGTCAACCTGAAGTAAGGTTTGGATAGAGGTATTCCATCCAAAGGGTAGGGTTTCTACGGGTTAGGTTAAGGTGGGTGGTTGGTCTGATGAAAAACCAAACCACATTATTAGGGTTCACTATTATGTGAACATAAAAAAGAAAGCCTGACCAAGTCATCATAGATGGTTGGTCTGACCTCTACAGGTCCACCGAGGTTAGTGGCACACACGCACATGCATATGTATGCGCCTCAATTTAGTTAGAATAGAATTAGGCGGGAAGTAAAGTTAGCCATCCATAGGCGTATACCCGGGTATTGGGCATATCCTTGTATGTATAGGTTTCTATTCATTTTAGGTGGTTGGGTACCGTTATATTCGAGTATGTGTCGTGGTGCATACATATTCACGAATATATAGAGTTAACTACTACTACTACGACGACGGGTTACTACTATGGTTAGTATTTAAATTAAATACAAGAAAGGAAAGCAATCAAACTAGAATTTAAATGGGCACCAAATAATAGAACAAAGGGTATGAATAAGTAGAGCTTGAATTTAGAGGATTTTTGGTGGAAGAATCAAATAATTTGGAGTTGGGGTGGAAAAGATATGAATTGTTGAAGATTTAATAGAGAAAAGAATATGTGGAATATAGATTGGGGATTATTTCTGGAAATTGGATAATGGAAAATGAGATGGAAATATTTGGGTAGGATATGTGGTGTACCTAGTATATTTAGGAATTTTATGGGAATTTTTC